GCTGATAATAACATAGATAAATACTTTGTTATTCCAGTAACACCTCCAAGAGTAAAACAAATTTTCTGGGCATCTCCTGAAATACATGTCTTTTTATTTGAAGATTGGAGGTTGTGAAGCTGTTAATGAGATATGGAAGGGGCATTTTCTAAAAGTGACAAGTTATTTTAATCAAAAGGGTCATGCATGTCAGATAGCATTATTGTTTCCTGAAGAGGCTGGACTCTGCCTAAGTCAGTGAGAATTAAGATTTCAATTATACACCACTAATGGGTAGGACAGAGAGTGAGTGAGGCACAAGTTTAAAACCTAAGTGTTACTGAAACTTCTTCTTGATTTACTGGCATCACTGCTAAGTACCCTGTAAATGTTAGCATTTTACGCCGTGTCACTAATGCCCAAGAGTAAAGCCACGTTAGAATTACAAAACAGAAGGCATTCTACAGTCTGAGCAGCAGAGTTAACTTCCACATGAGATTTGAATACTAAAATGAGTGTCATCTTTGAGGAGGAAAGGCTTTTGAGTGATCAGGTCGGTTCTGTCTAATTATTTAAGTGATGCTGGGGGATACTTATTCTCTGTAGAATGTCTGATCCTTCAGTGGACTTTCATGATGCTCAACTGGGATCCAAGAAGAATGGAATAAAAGATCCTGGGATTAAGTGGGATCTATGTTTCTTTAAATTATCTTCTTTGTCTGCTTATCCTTCCTTTCATATCGCTGTTCATACAAGTGGTGAATGCTGGTTAAACAAGGGAGAGACTTCAGTGGTGAAGAACCCTTTATCATACGAGTCTGATGAAATGCATGCAAACATTGTAATGTAATGTTAAGCTAGCTTAACCCGTGCTAAAGGAGTGGTGTCATCTCGTCATGGAGATTATACCTAGACCAGAGCAGTCCTTATTATTTAGAGAGCCTTTCTGACTAGAAATAGAAGATGTTTTCCAGGTAGGAGACCCATGTACTTCGGCATGCCCCACGATGCTGAATTCTAGCTTAGCATAATCCCTCCCTTGGTAAAGACTACTTTCTGTTGGTCACTTTCTCGTCCCAGTCACTTTGGCTCCATCAAATATGGAAATCAAACCTAATATCCTCAGGAGAGGGAGAACAGGGGTACTCCTGTACAGCTGTGGAGTTTTCGCTCATAATATAGGACTTGGCTGGCACTTCTTCTAATGGCAAAAGGAGTCAACAGAAGGTGAAATATTGTCCAAACTTGTTTATTGAAAATGATTTATTGATAAAAGAGCACTGGATATTGAGACAATACTGAACCAAATAAAAGAGGGTTAAGTCTAAAACATCATGATTTTCCTGAGGGGTGTGTGTGTGTGTGAGTGTGTGTGTAGCTGGGAGAGAGAGAGAGAGGGAAGAAAGGAGGAGAGAGGGAGAGAATGAGAGGATAAGAGTAGAGCTAGACCAAGCAGACAGAGGGAGCAGATGGTAGTGAGGGGATGTTTGTTTTGGGGGGTCAAGATCAGTATGTCTTACATGGTTAGTACTTTTGAAGCTGGTTGTTTCAGAGTGATCTGGGGGTGCTGATTACAAATGTAAGGAGCCCTGGAGCATTGAAATATTGTATGAATGGTCAAGTTAAAACTATATAACCCTTTCGGGGAGATGGGATCAGTTCGGTGGTAGAGCGAATGCTTAGCATGTACAAAGTCCTGGGGTCAATCCCCAGTACCGCTATTGAAAAAACAAACAAAAGTATATAACCTTTTTGATAAGTGGAAACATTTTCTTTCAAAATGTTTATCTATCAAAAATATAAATGCTATGTGACCTAATTTTTTTTTTTCTGGAAAAATGTTTCCAGTTTGGCTTTCCGCCAAGTAGGCTGACATTTGCAGAGCTGTTGTTGGCTCTGACTTGGGCCCTGGAGTTGCAAAGCTGCAAAAAAAGCAGACCCTGATCAACCTTCAGAGGAGCTGACACCTTAGGGATTCCTGGACTGTAAGATCATGTGCTTTTATTAATATTGTACTTGTCCTTTCAGACTGAAATGAATACTGTATTAGACTTAACAAAATTTTGTAGGCATGCAAAGAGGGTGGGGTTTCCTGATTCTGAAAGTTTTGAAGAAGAGCTCATAGATGTACTTTAAGGTTGGCTGTTAAGCAGAGATTTAACTGTATCGAGTTTAGATGAGAAGGAATCAGGTTATGATATTTCAGTTTGTGAACACGCGTGAAGAAAGCTGGCAAGGATGCTGATCTCATTCCGCTTGTGCATCTGTATGACCTTGGGGTAGATGGGAGTACGAAGGTGGTTGGTTTTGGGGCTGTTGAAGATGGAAATGTAAAAGCATACTAAGAATAGGATTTAAGAGCCCAAATTAAGCTAAGGAATTTGAACGTGATTTATAAGGAGTGGGATCCATTAAATACATTTTTCAACCAGAGGTGACCACTACTGTTCTGATGGAACTGTTTAGAGAAATGAGAGAATGGTGGCCAGGTGGCAGGAGACAAGTTAGAAGGCTATTGCAGTAATCCGATAAGAGATAGAGTTGCCTGACCAAGGGTCACCAGCGTGGAAATGCAATAGAAACAGAGCCTTTGGGCCTCAATTTAACCCCAAATTGAAAGAAATGCCCTCCTTCCATTTCTCCCTATCCATCTCACTCCCTTCTTCTTTCCCTTTTTCCTCTCCTCCGTTCTTTCCTTTATTTTTTCTTTCTTTTTCATTTAGATATTATCACTCAGTGCCTGCTGTGTGCCAGGCTGCGGGAGTGCGGAAGGGAGTGGATCAGAGATGTTGCCACAAGGTCTAGCTTGGTGGAGTGGTAGGGCTATTAACTGTGACAGGGAACGATTTAGGAAAAGAAGCAGTTTTGCAGCAGGGAATAACATGACTTTGAATTTGGACAGATTGATTTGGAAATGCCTGTGGGACTTTCTTATTGAGATGCCCGTTGAAAAGCTGAAAAGCTCCCTGAAATTACCGTGGCGTGTGAAATGAATGGACTGCCTGTTGCTAGGAAGGGACATGACTTGGCCAGATGGCCTTGGGTCAGATGTGTTAGAGGGAACTCTGATGAGCGATTATTAGCGATCTTGAACCAAGTGGAATACAGTGTCCCTCCAACCCTACAAATCTGTAAGACTGCAGACAGGCATGTGTACGTGTGCCTGTGTGTATGAGAGGGGGACACACACATACACCCCTTGGTTTCTTTTTCTTGTCTGTGACCATATCTGGTATCTTAAGCATTATTATATCTGTTGTTTTCCATATCACTCCTTTTAACTTTATAACCTCTGAAGTGAATGATGATGCCTGGACTATGAAATATATCTTAATATTCTTTATTTCCCCATTAGCCAGTTGTTTAATTAGCAGGTATTTGCTGCAACCTAAATATCATTTACTACTTTGTATTCTCAGCCAAATGAGGGTAAATAGTTAAGGATACGTTTTCCATTCACAATATTAAGTATATTAGGATATCCTATTATAAATTAAAACTGGACATTTTATGCAGTTGTTCTTGATGAATTTTTGTTGTTGTTGTTAATTTGCCATTAATAAGAAATAAAGGTAAACCAATATTTTGTCAGAGACTCTCTATTTTCTAAAGTGAAGACAAGTTTTATTATTATTATTAATTATTATTATAACTGTTGTTGCACCTGTTAATTCTTCAGTTGACGCTTTTCTGATAGTAATTATACTAACATTTTTACTTCCAAGGCTTTGGCAAATGTGTGAAATGGTATGCTATTCATAACTTCAACATATGTATAAATGCAATAAACATCTTACATAAGGTTCTAAAATGCAGCACTGACCTACACTATAATACCAAAAAGAAAAAAAATGATATTGGGTCTGCCATCTTATTTTTAGTTTTTACATGTACTTCTGAAACTGTTTGCCTCCTACACACGAAAATTAATTTTAGATCCTGTGAGGTTTTTGCTGGATTAGGTTCCAGTTAAGCAATGTAAATTCTTAGGAAAGCTGTTACTACCATTCAGTTATCTTTCATGAATTTGAAAGGTGAGTTAAGATTTAAAATTTTGACCTGGAGACCAATTTTGCGCTATTCAATTCTTATAGTTCTGTAAAAGGAATCACTTTGGTGATTACTGAATGATTCATAGCAGTTGATACATATATTAAGATAAATATAAAGGGCTTTTTATCATAGTTAAAATAGATAATGAGTTAACATTTAACAAATAAAATAAAAGATAAAAATTATAATAATTAATACTATTAATGGAAGTATAAATTACAAAGAAGACTTCTGGATAAAAGTCTGGTAAAATGTGTCGAAATTAGTGTTAAATTGCAGTGAGAAATTTTTTGACTCAGTGACCTGACTTGAGGGAATCTAAGCGAATAAACGTCCAGGTGATCTAATACGTATGTGCCAGGATCTTGATTGCACTGTAAATTCCGCTGGTAAAATATTCTATCAAGCTAATTAATAAATATGGTAGAACAGAAACAAACTAACAAAAGTGGAATTCTACAAAGTTAAAGAATGAGTTATATTTACATGTACTGACCTGGAAAAGTTCATGACATCCTATTGAATGAAAATAAATACTATATGTATGGAGCAATCCCATTTATAAATATATTTATATGCATTCAAAGTCTGGAAAGATACACAACATCTCGGAAGACATTCCTGCAAAAATTGATGTTTAACTGAAACCAGAAAAGGAAGGAAGGAAGAATTAACCAGGGAAAAATTAAGGCAGAGGGAATAACATCTAAGAAAGCCTGCAGGCCAGAGAGATTTAATGTATGCAAGAAGCTGAAAAAATTAGGTATGAATGGATTGTGGAGTCTAAGAGAGGTTTACCTTTGGGGTTGGCATTATACATGGAAATTTGCTTTCTACTTTATGCATTTCTTTTTGCTAATGAAGATGTTCCTGTTTCGCACAAATAATTAAGAAACTAGCTAAATGTATCACAAAGAAAAAATGATGAAACATTTTAAATAGGATACAGAAAAATAATCAGAAAAGACAAAAGAAGTTGTGAACAATTAAGTGAAAGCTTAAAACAAAAGCATAACATTGTATATTAAGCTGAAGTAAAGGAGAGGAAAAAGAGGAATAGAAACAGTGATTTCAGAAAATGAAGACACTTCTTTTAAGTAGGCTTAAATGGGAACATTAAATAAGGCAACAGTGTAAATCTTTTAAAATTACACTCTTATAATAGAAAGGACCACAGGAATATCTGGATCAACATAGCTGGGAAACATTTAGCATATTTAGCTGCGCTTCTTTTCCGTGATTCTTACAGTGAGGCGGGGGGCCTCAGCTTCCCCTGGTCGATACCTTGGGGCAAAAGCAGAACCCGGTAGTCTACATTAGAATTTCCCTTTTTCCATTGCTTCCAGTCCAGGAATTCCCTGTAAATTCCTTCCAAAGTGTGAGCCAACTTCGTATCAGTGGTCCTTATCTTGCCTCCATCTTTGAATCTCTGGGAGAGATTTGAAAAAATTTCAATGCTCAGGCTGCACATTCTGGTGAATCAAATCGTTACCTCTGGACTGGGGCCCAGGCAGAGTTTTAATGCTCCTGGGTGATTCTCAGGTGCAACTGGGACTGGAAAATCACTGTTCTAGGGAAGTTCAGCCAGTTGACACCGTCAGTGTATGAACAAAGTGTCCTAGCAGCAAACTCAGGGGACAGCATGCTCAAATGCATAATTCCAAAGAACCGAGTCAAAAACTAAGAGTGAGAGGTCTCAAAATCCACCGACTGCTTTGGTGGCGAGGTGTCGAGGGTGTGGCTGTTAGAAAGGTGTCATATGCAAAATGAAGATGGAGTCTTTGGTGGAGAGATACTTTAGCTATAAAATACAGGTGAGATATAAGATGAAAATATTAACTATGTTAAAGATAAGTTTCTAGGACTCTGTTTTCTCGTCTTTAAAATGAGAGTGTCACTACTTCATGAAGTTGTGGAAGTTATATTGAGAATGTTTATAGAAGCAAAGTACAAAGGGTCGTTCACTCATGGTTCAGAGGCTCAGTAAACAGAATGAGAAATAAGGAAGCAGAGAATCAGTGTCTTTCATCTTTTAGTTTTCAAATGTAGTATAGCTTCAGTTCTTGGTTTTCCATCAAGGAAGTTTATTTTCTGTTTAGTGGACACTTGTGGACTTCGGCTCACAGTGCAGAGCCAAAACCGATAGATAGACAGGGTATGTATTGCCTTGGATGGTGGAGGAGTAGTGCCCTTTTGGGCATTTTGAAGGTATTTCAATCTCCCTAATGGTGCATCTGAGAAATGCACATATGTTAGTCTCCTGCTGTTGTGTAGTAAGTTACCACACACCTAGCGCTTGGTGGAGGAGGTCACCAAGGGGACATGACCCTGGGTGACTGTAAGCTGGACCTGAGCAACCGGAGGCACCTTAGCCCCTCTCCTGTCCTTCGAATGTCTGCTCCGTCCACCGTTCCCACACTAGGAACTGTTCCAAGGACATAGCCTTGTGAGAGTAAAGTGTTGTCGGGACACTCTGGACTGGGTACGTGACTGAGCCCTGTTAAGGCCTCTGTAGAAACTTTTAAGATTCTGGCAGGCGGGTGCGGAGACCTCCCAGGCCTGGCCTGCCCGAGACAAGCCTCGTAAGTTCCTTTGCTTGTGAAACCGCCACCGGCAAGTCTGGAGCGGCCTGCCTCTTCCTTCAGTTTCTCCGTGCCCTCCACGTTCCTGGGGGGCCGGTTTTCAAGCCCACGACACCTTAAAACACCTGTTTACAAGCTCATAGTTCTGTAGATGAGACGACTGGGCTGATGAGGCTGGCTTCTCTGCTTCGGGTCTCATGAGGCTAAAATCAAGGTGTCAGCTGGGCTGCATTATCATCTGAACTCGAGGTCCTCCTCCAAGCTCCCGGGATTGTGGCAGAGTTCAGTTCCTGGCACTCAGAGGGCTGAGCTTTTGTTTCCTTTCCGGCTGCTCTCAGCTTTTAGGGGCAATCTGTCTTCCTTATCAGGTGGTCCCCTCCATCTTCAAAGCCAGTGAGGAGGATTTCCTTCTCGTGCTTCAGACCTGTGACTTGCTGTCTATGTGCAGATTTAAAGGGCTCACGTGATTGGACAAGGCCCACGGGGAAGACTCGTGCTTTCTTCACGTCAGCTGTACCCGGTAACCTAATCACCCGAGCGATGCCCACCGTTTTCATAGCTGTGTCTCGTACCGAAGATGGAGATGATTTGACAAGGGTGTGGGTTGTTGAGAATTATCTTAAAAAGCTGCCTACCCCTGCACACAGAAAGGGTGTGTGGACTGCAACATGTTAAGGTGGTTTTAAAACAAGGCAGGAGAAGACGACCACTCCTCTGCTTTATCAGTGAGTATCACGTTCATTTGACGTTGCTGGAGAGGGGAGGTCTGCCTCGATTTAGTTCCTGTAGGAAAAATTGGGGAGAAAAGCACAGAACGATATTAATTCATAAATTAAAGTATAAACTTTTTTTGCTTTGTGATTTTAGTGTCTAGCAGAAGCCATGTGCTCTCTTATTTCTTATGTTCTTCCTTAGTAAGTAAAATTTCTCATACAGTTTATCTCATGACAAAGATATGCTAAAAATCCGAATAGAAAATAAACATTTTTAAAGGAGCTACGTTCTACAAAGAAAATTTGACACACTCTCGGTTTTTTGGAGGTTGCGTGGTTGGTACATTGTGTGTCCTAGCTGCACTGTGTGTATCTGGTTGTGTGAGTTCCGTGGATTTACCACAGAACGAGAAAAGCCTCAGTTTCCAGCCTCGTAAAGCTAGAAAACTGCTCAACACTGCATTAAGTCCTTGGCTGATTTCTTAATAATCCCCTGTAACTCTTTAAGAAGTGGTGTTTATAGCCAGGAAACATTGTTAAGTTTGAGCTAATTTTCTATTTCTCAGAACCCAGCTAAGGAAATATACCTTCTAGTTGTTGTCCAAAAATGATAACTGAATGGATAAACGGGTATTACTAATAATGCATTCACTGCCTAGTTTGACTGATACAGTCTTGTTGAGGAATGTAAAAATAAATCCTGGCATTCTCTGGAAGATTTCTGCATAACTTGTCTTAAAACCGACTTACTTGTGATAGATATTTGAACCATTAATGTGTGTGTGTTGACTTGCTGATAATAAAACGGAGATCCTTGGGAGAGCTTTCATTTAAAGGTATTTGATTCAAACGTACTGTATGCTCCTGGTTTACCTACCGCTATACTTCTAGGGCAACTGAACGTATCTAAATGTAATATAAATTGCTATCATGCTGTTATGTAGCGGACTTTAAACTGGAGCATGCATACCGTGGGGTTATATGAGGATTTCCCACTGGTATATAGACTCAGAGCTTTGAGGATACCCACTCCCCAAAAAAAGAGTGAGAGAGAAAGAGAGGCAATTTAGTTGTAGTATTGACAGTTGGAATGGCTCTGATGACTGGGTAACAAATCCATTTGTAAGTCAGGTTGTTTACAATTCTCTACTTTAATAGAGTTGTCAGCCAGTATATGATTAAAATAATTTTTGATGAAAGATCACTGACTTTTGGCATGTAACTGAGAAGGAGTTCAAGCATTTGAGTGACATTGCTACAATGAAAGGAGTTTCTTCCATTTCCATCTATTTATTTATGAACAAAAAATCACCACAGTTACAGTAATAAAGACAAAACAAACTAAAAAAAAAAAAAAAGGGAAGAAAATTGATGCTGATCCCTGTCTCCTTTTAGCACTAAGTAATAGTCACCCATGGAATACATGAAATAAATGAAAAAAAGCCACACTATCCATGTCATTATGACATTCATTTCCAGTAATTGTGACCTTTGTTTAATAATGATTCATTGCAACTTGAGATACATTTGTTTTGATAATTGTGCTCTTCAAATAATTTATAACTCAATACAGAAGAAACCTTTTTTTTACACTTAGAGTTATAATGCCATGAGGAATTTTTCTAAACGTCATTTTTACATATTGTTATTGCAGAGAAATATGATCAATAAAAAAAACTTTCAAGCATAAAACTTAACCATTTTAGGATAAAATTCAGTGGGGATAGAAATCTGAGTTCAAAAAGAAATAGGAACAAAGTCAAATCCAGCTGTAAATAGGATCTTGTTCATGCAGTTCTCACTAGTATTTAGATTACTCTGGATTATTTAAAGAATTGTGTAAGTTTATCACAAAACATTAATATTTTAATGTGTTAGAGCTTATACCCCTTGCTATTTAAGCTGGCCAAGAAAAAAAAATTAAATGCCAACCTCAAAGTCTGTGGGGGGTGCATAGTTTTATAAAATTACTTTAGAAGGGTACATTAAGTTTGAAGCCCATGACTACTGTGGAAAGTCCTGCAACTGTTGGCTTTCTCAGTGCTGCAGTAAAGGATTTAGTATAGGGGCTGGGGCCCCAGATAGCTCTGACACTGACAGCAGCTCTCCTTTCTATGAACTTCTGTGGCCCCTCACTACTCATCCCAAACGTTTGATGCTTTTTGTGTGTATGATGTCAACTCAGAAAATTTGGGTCATATGTTAGACTGGATGTTGCTTACACTTTGAACAAACTCTTAATACACCACCAATACAGTGTCACAGTTGGTTTCAATGCAATAATCAACCAGTCGGATTTCAAGTAGTGAAATCATCTGTTTCATTAAATGTAAGTACAGTGTCTTCCAAGTCATAAACTTAAGGTCATGATCACAGATATCCAGAATGCTTTTGTGTGTATACATACCATATATTTTCATAACAAGGTGAAAATGAATGGTACAAGTAATTAACAGCAGTAAAGAAATAAAGCCAAGTTCTTCATATTCTTAAATATGTGAAAGGTTAATTGGGGCCAATTTTTTATCTGAGAAATGTTCATTTTTATTAATGTTTTATTTAAACAGTTTACAATTCTGCGGCTGTAATTTTGATTAGTGTATGCTTAATGAGTACCTAACCACTTGATTCCTGTGTTTCCTGAATGGTTCTGCACTTTAGGACTAGTTCTGTTATTTGAATTCAATGGCATAGAGATGGTATTTGAAGTCATGGGCAGGAATGAGATGCGGTAGGCAGGAGTGTCCTGGGAGAACAGAAGCAAGGTCCTCTGATATTAAATACTGCTGGGGGAGGAGAAGGCAGGCTCAGAGGGACCTTGGGAAGGAGAGCTAGAGGAGAAACCCTGGAGCTTGTGGGGATTTCAAAGCAACAGGAAGAAACAGTGCCATGTAATACTTAGCAATTAAAATGGGGGATGAATATTGTCACTGGAATTTTTTAACTTAAAATATTTTCAAGGTAACACAACTTTGTAAACAGACTGTATACCTCAATAAAAAAAAAGTTTCCAAGGTCATGAAAAAGATCAAATGGGGAAGAAAAAGCCTCAGTTTCTGCAGGTTGGATAGATTAAAAAGCAAGATAGGGGTGGTCTTTTGTGTCCTTTTATAACGTGGTTGAGGCCCAGCTCTGTAGCTTCCCAGCTTAGCGAACCCAGGAAAATTGCATAAACTCTCTAAGCATTTTATCCCAACATGGTTAAACAGGGCTAATGATACAGCTGTCTCAAGGGTGTGTTGTGAGTATGAGCAGGATAAATTATATAACAGACTTAGCATACTCTGTGGCATATAAAAACTCTACAATTGTGACATATTATTATTAACTTTCTTAAAAGGGTTCTTAAGGCACAAGGGTATTCATCTATCTCTATCCACATCATTTTCTGTCATTGTTATACCATGCTAATTAATCTAATTCATTTCATTATAGTAAGTGGCAATGCAACTGGGGCATGAAAAACTCATTTTGATCATTATAAAGGAATCAATATGGTAGCAGCTCTTCAGTTCAGCAGTCTGACCAGCATTCGATGAAGATCAACAGTAGTCTGTATATTTCAAAATTTATAGAACACATTAATATATTTAATGTTTTGTTCTTTAATATACTGAAAAGGAGTTTGTTTTCAGGCCTCAAGATAGGTATGGGTATAAACTATAAAATGTCTTTTATTGGCATCCAATTTGCTTACTTGCTATCCTTAAAAAAAAAATTTAAGATTGACTCTTGCTGTTGATAATACTAATACCACAGATTAAATGAGAGCCAACCAGGTAGTTATTTTGAAAGTCAGTGCTTCTAGGATGATCCACATCCAGTGTGCATTTTCCGCAGAGTTACAATGCTTGTAAATTTTATTTACGATTCATATAAGCTTTTATGTGCCAATATTTTTTCAAAGGACATCCTTTATGTCCGTGCGCCTGCCCTCAGTTATACTGGTAACTGTCC